GCGCCTGAGAGGTGTCAGGTCCTCTCGCACAGAGCAGCACTGCCCTCGTGTGGCCAAACACAGACACACACCCTGTAAATGCTTCAGCTGTTGACCATGAACTTCTCATCAAATCAAAACACGTCACATCTTCCATCGTTTCTCTGATTTCGCTGAAAGGTTTTCCTCGAATGTTTACACCTTTTTCATCCTTTCATTCATTTGGATCCACAGTAAATATTTACAGTGATGAAGTCACTGTAACTTTTAATATTCCTCATTAACACTTGAGACGTGTCAACAACTTCAGTATAGACATAATTCATAAAAACCTGTGTCAACACCCATACTACTTAAATTCTTGTGAGGTTTGGGGATCAATAAATATCAAATTTCAATTTTGTTTTGAGTATCAATTCTGATTTATCGGTCTTTCACAGACGAATCGGTATCAGCGATCATGTTTGCTGATATCAAACCTTGTTCAAGATGCAAAAAATACATACATATATTTACTCCCACGTGAAAATCTTTTGTTTATTTTCTTGATTCAAGTTCTATATATTTGATTGTGTTTGTGTAAAGTTATGGATGAGGACCGTTGACATTTAATATACTTCCAGGAAGAATCTAAATACATCCACTCTCCATTAAATAAACGGACAAACCGACATGCTAACATTAATGTTGTCGAAGAGTTCACACTATTTACAACTCTGTTCACTGCAGGACGCACAAATGAGGCAAACTCACATTGGTTCCGACTTGACAGGATGAGGCCTCCGCCATGATGGTGTGTGTGTGGTCAGACAGGAAGGAGACAGTTGAGCGGACTTCCTGTACAGCTTCTGGAGGAGGAGCCACAGGAGGAAGTGGTAGTTCAGGTAAAAGGAAAGGAGGGGAAGTGGGAGGGGCTTTCCCACAGTTTGTTTTTATCTATAATAAAGTTTACGAGCCTGTTGGAAATCATTTGCAGGGAGCTGGGGAGAAATATCTTCGTTACTCTCTAATATGAACATTGGCTGCGGCCCCTGGTCAGGCTCTGATCGATGTACTCAATAATACCATTAACTGGTTCCATCATGGTTGCTGGTTTTGTTGATCCCGGTTTAACAGGACAAACACAAATAAACATTTAGTCTGGGTTAAATCTTTGTTTGATGATTTCCTTGAAAGACCATTCTCAGATTTGTCTTCTCTCCTCCCAGAGAGTTGTCGTGTGAATGGAAGTTGTTTGCTCAGGCCTGAAAGAACCCCCACAGTTCACTCACCGATGTTTCCCATGTCCGGTCAGGCCTCCCCACAGCCGGCGCACCACCCAGGCTCCAGTAAACTTCCACCTCCTGCCGTCCCTCAGTGACATGAGAAAAGACGAACTGGACCTCGTCTGTGTTCTGGTGACAGAAGACGTGGAAACATCCGGAAACTCTGGTTCTGATGAGAAGCTCAGAAACAAACAGTCGCTGCAGGAATCCAGAAACCAAGTCAGGAAAACAGAGGGAAGCTGATTTCTTTAGTAACAAGCAACAAGATTTATTTAGGTTTTTGACACTGGCTTCAATATTCTGCTGTGAATTGAATGTGAGGTTTCTGTATTTAAACTGCGGACAGATGTTAAGACATCCATTTCTCAATAGTCCCATCACAACTGGTGAAGTGCTGCAGGTACTGATGGGCTGGTACACGTCCTGGTCTGTTGATTGGTGAAGATGAGGGACGGTTCTGGCAGATGAAGATCAGGTGACAGGGAAGAGACGGTGAGATGAGTCAGGGGTCCTAAGCAACCAGTGAGGGAGCGGATGCCTCGTGCTGGCTCTGCATCAAGTCAACATTTGAGGAAAGGACTGTGTTAGCATTGCTGATTAGCACTGTGCTGTCGTCGTGGTAATGGTCGCTGGAGACAGATATTGTGTTGTGTGTTTCCTGAGCCTGCTGAGACCGGACGAGATTCATAAAACTACTGTCACAGAGCAGAGAGGCCGAATACAATCCGACTCTGTATGTTAGTTTTGAAAAGAAAGAGCTGAGATCATTTTACATTTACACCACATTCACTGTATTACACTGTGATCATGTAGAGCAGAGCAGTGGAACGACACAGACGAACTAGAGCGTCGCTCAGGGCTCACGTTCCTCCGCCAAGTCCCAGCAGCCTCTCTGTGAAACCACGTGTAAAATCACCAGACCTGTATTTTTTTATTTGGACCAGTCTCCTTAACATGTCCTGAATATCGTCATCAAGACAAATTAATTCAAGGAAAATGTTGAAAAACACTCACAATGTTAAAGAAATTGATAAAACACGTCCTGAATCCGACCCCTGACCTGGATCCACAGTAAAAATGGACCCATGCCACATACACGGAATCGCTGCAGCAGGTTGTGTGGTATTTGGTCGTGTAGTTTTTGTGTAATGTTGTTTAATTATACCGGTTTCTCACCCAGATAACGCAGCAAACAAGGTCAAATGATTTAAATATAAGTGAATAAAAACTTTCTCACTTACTCACTGTTCAATATGTGATTAAAAAAAACAGTCAGTGGATTTTCAGCTGATGATCTGAAATCAAACTGCAAACAAAGAGAATGTGATTTCTTTTGGAAAGTCTCTGAGTCCAGACTTTCAAATATAAATGAATACTCCGAATATAGTGCACACACACACACACACACACACACAGGCCTCAGTCGGGTTCAAACCCAGGACCTTGTTGGTTTTAGACCATGCTGCTAAGACCTGAGGCCACCGTGCCACCGCTGGTTGTCAGGGCAACTGAGAAGAGAAGAGTTTGGGTTTTGGCTTATCAGGACGGACCACAGCGGTTTCTCCTCCCCTGCATCTCGGCCCTCTTTCTTCTGCCTCCTCTGGGGCAGCTGGTGGGAGTCGGTGGGTGTCGTGTAGCTTAGCAACTCCCTTGGTGGATGGCAATTGATATGCAGCTTTGTTCAAGTGTCTCTCCCTCCGAGCCAGAGAGGGGGACGTCTGAACAATGCTGGCCTTATTGAAGCTTCCCCTCCTCCTCCTCCTCCTCCTCTTTGCCCAGGCACAACGAAGTGGGAGGACAAATATTTCTGCTCAAAGGGGCCGAGGCTCCACTTACTGCACCGGGCCTGGAAATGTAAGTTAGGGAGCACTGGCGTCTGTGAAGGGTCTCCAGGTGTCCGCAGGCAAAATGATGGTATTTTACCCACAGAGAGTCTGAAGCAGCTTCTCATCCGTCTTCTTACTTTTCTTAATCTTAATATACTTCAACGGCTCAAATCTTCTTCTGCCTCCTGAGATTTTATTTGATTAAATGTCTTTGGATCTAAATATTCATATTTTGAGTCCATGATATTGAAATATCATGTTGATGGAACCTCAGTCTCCGTCCATCCTCCCGGGGGTTCTGTTGCTCTGGTTGTTCTTGTCTGACTTCTGCAGAAAAACCTGAGGTTGCAGAAATCAGGAACTAGACTGGGCTCTCGTTTGTTAGTGTCAGAGCAGATATTGTCGATTAGATTGAATATAAATAAAGACTGACTGATATTTGTGTCCCAGGAGAGACACACAACCATCACACTCAGTTTGGAATCACCACGTGACGTCAGAGCTGTAGATTCTGTCGTCTGCATCCTACACGATCTCAGACCGACTCCACCGTGTTCAGGCCTCTGAGGTCAAACTGACTCTATGTTGGTCTTGTCTGAAGATTCTGTGGTTCTGTACGACTCGAAACCGATTCCCCCCCCCCCCCCCCCCCCCCCCCCCGGGTATCGCTAGAGTTCTTCTGATTGTGGCTCTGAAAGAATTTTGGACCAATCCGACACATCCCTGATGGTTCGACGACAACACTGAAAAAGCCTCAAACTTTTACACAGTATTGTGAAGTTTAACAATCTGTTTTCTAATCGAGCATCTGTAGATGTTGGAAGGGTTTTCATTTCTAAATGTACAGGCGTGTATCTTCAATTGCAGACATTTGGGTTATATTTCACAAATGTCCGTGTATTTAAAAAAGAAAAAGAAATGTAAAAAGTCTGGCAGCAAAAGACTTCTGCCAGACTTTTTACAAAAAACAGTAAAATAATCCTGGACATTTGTGTGAAATTATTTTTCACAGTAAACCTCAAATATTTATATTAATTTGATCAAAACCGAGAAAAGGGTCAGAGAAAGGTCTGAAAATATTTGGGTAAGTGAGGAATTCTTGTCTGCTCTCCCCAGCAACCGGTCACAGAGCGACTGTGTTCATTCTGTCTGCAGAAACTCAAAGGCCAACTGTGATTGTGAAGCCGTGACCTTCAATAATTGAACGATGACAAAAAGGAGCGTCACAGCAGCTTTCTCCTTCAGTGGGAGTCGAGAGCGCAGCAGAGAAACATTCCTTCCAGAGGAGATCAGAGCTGACGGCGGCCAACTCCCCGTTTGTCTCCAGATAAAACGAATCCACACGAGGTGTTTTCACACGTTCACTGAATGAAACTACTGTTTCGGATCAGACAGAACATCCACCAACAGGGAACCTTTGGTTTCTCCTCTTTCCGTTGGCCCCTCATGTGTTTTCATGGTTAAAAACTTGTTTTTTTCCTGTTATATTTTTTGTATTAATTTGGCAGCAAAACATTTTATTTAAATCTGATCAAATGTTTTACTTCAAGACAAAATATGAAGACATTTTAAAGTAAAACGGATTCTTTAGTTTCTTTACACAGATCTTTATGAGTAAAGTTTTTTTTGGCGCACTGAGGAAATTCTTACTTTCTAAATGTGTTAAGAGGAGCAAGATGAACGATGGGCTCCTCCCGTTAAAGTAAATGATGCTGGTTTGCTTTGTCTCTCTACAGAATATGTTGAGACTAAGAAAATATTGTCTTTTAAGATGTGATCCAATAAATCCATATTTTCAATGAATCATAAAAGCCCTTCCGTTGAAGTTTCTATTGCAGTTATTTGTGGAATAACAGTAAATAAACAGTTTCCATTATTCCAGTTAATAAAGGGTAAACCAGACATTAATAATCACACAGGTAACAAAAAAGAAAATCTACATTTTTACTGAAACAAACAATAAAACATAATAAAAGTAAAAAACACTTCACACTGAATAGTTCCATGACTCTTCATGATTTATCTCTCATCAGGTTTTTAAGCTGCCGTCTGCACAGAAAACATTTCGGTATCTTAACCACATGTGTTTTCACACATCTGGAGCTGCGGCGTCCGACTCACGTGACACGTGTGAGTGGATCATACATGAGCCATGTATGAACAGCAAAATACAGTAAAAAAAACAAACAGCAGTTTATATGGACACAGTCTCAGTAGGTCTTCATCTTCAGTTTGAACCACAACACCATTTTAAAATATCAAAACTATCCAGTGATGCTCTCACAGTACTTAGAGCTGGTAACTAATATCCTGAATGAGTGTTAGACAATTATTAATAACTACAAAATGTAAAACGTAGCATAAAAAACTGCTAAACTACTGAGTCCTTTAATAACAGGATTAAATCCAAACCTTTTCTTTTTAAAACAATACTTTCTTTACAATAATCTAACTCTAGTCTCTGCTCCAGGAGCTCATACAGACTAAAAGATTATTCCAGTTTATCACAGCTTGGGTTTTATTTAGGTCGTTTTGTGCATTAAATGAATCAGCCTGCAAACATAATGTCTGAGAGAAAATAACCTGCGTGATCTTCGTTTAATCAGATAATCTCACTGTGATGAGCATTTCACTAAAATAGAAGTTTAGAAGGTGTAGAAACAGTTTCACTCACACAAACCTACGTCCAGTTTCAACTCTGACAGACTCTTCTCACTCTAGCTGCTGTTGAGGTTTATTTCAGAGAGTGGAGACCCGACACGAGCCTGTGAGTTATGTTTGGTGACGACAGCTGGTCCATCGTCTTGATTCTTTACACTGCATGTGTCTGTCATCAGGGAAAACATGTGATAATCATGCATCGGGCACAGAGCAACACAAACTCGACGGGTTCACAGACACGTGGTGACATTAATACAGAGGGACGTTGAATGTTGGTGTTTAAAGATGATGTTTTGGAATCAGGAGCTCAAAACCAAGAAGGAAGAGAACCAGACAGGATCGTCCACATACTTTTGGCCTTATTGTGTAATCTGAGTTCACTTTTAGCTTGTTTCCAATCTGATCATCTGACATTTTATTACACTTGACATGTCCGACTTCTTCTCGGTGACCATCTCGGCTATTAGTCTCCTGACGGCCATGTTGTTATAACTGATATAAATGATGCACAAAACTTTAAAAATAAGAACAAAGTTTTAATAAACCTAAACCATCCTTTAAAGTTCCACGTGTGGCAGTTCAGTCTCAGCACGGCGTCCCGATAGCTACTGAAGAGTCTTTAGCCCGGTCGCAGACAGCCGGTTCTGTCCCCAACAGGCCCTTCATCGTGTCCTCTTTGCTGGAAGGACACAGGGACGATGGAGAGGGCGAAGTGGGCGAGGAGAGGATGGAGGTGGCGGCTGCCGACGAGGAGGAGCTGCCTTCGGGGAGGCACTCTTCACAGCAGCAGCAGCAGCAGTCCATGAAGGCCTGGCCCAGCGATCGACACAGGCACAGCAGCAACACCGGCGTCGCGGAGCATCGCACGAACAACAGGAACTGTCCGATCAAGCTGAGCGCTGGCAGAACAACGGCCGGGAGCACGGCGGACTCTGGGATGGAGATGTATGCCAGGGTGATGTTACAGATGCTCTCTGGCAGGTTGCATGTGATGTACAAGATGGTGAGCGCCATCACAGTGGAGCGCAGCCGCTGCTCCCTCACATGTGGCTTTTTCCTTGTGGAGGAGGAAGACGAAGAGGAGGAGGAGGAGCACCTGCCGGGCACCTTGTCGCCATCAGGTCTCTGGAGCAGACGCTGGGCCAACACTTGCCTCGTGACTAAGTCGCAGGCCAGAGTGAAGAGCAGTGGCAAACAGAGGTAGCACCCAAAGATCCACCACATCCGGGCCTCGTGGTACGTCAGCACCAGAGAGTAGATGCTCTCTGGGAGCTCCGCAGACGGCTCCCGAACACAGATATCCACTTTAAATGCATCTGTTCGGGCTCTGAATGCCGACATCAGCGAGCCTGCCGGCTGGCTCTGCGGCAGGTCAGTGGGGAGCGATGGCAGGCTGACAGTTTCCTGGAGGAGTTGCCACAGGAGCAGCTCGGGGGCAGCCAGCACCATGGAGCCAACCCAGATGACGGCGAGCTTGGAGAGGATGGACTGGCAGGGCTCCACTCTCGGCGTCTGCAGGGGCCCGGGGCCGGTGGCAGCGTGGAAACGATCAATACTCAGGGCACAGAGGCTGAACGTTGCCACTCCGAGAGACGTCACCTGACAGAGAAATAGATTTTTGGTATCAGTGGAAACTCTGGAATAAAGATGTCAAATGATGACAAAAAAAAACCTCTGACAGTCTCTTATCATTTTAGTATAAATCAATATGACCTTAATTTAGCATTGCAGAGCTACTTCCTGCTCAGCTCTGCAGGTTTTCCTCGTGCACGGTTCAGATTCATGCAGCCTGAAGTGAAGCAGAACCAGACGTCACGCAGATTAACACTGAGGACGTCGTGCTGCTTGAACACCAAGTAAGAGACTTTCCTCTGTCGGCCACAATTACAGCGATAAGAGCCTGGCCGAGAAAAAACTGCTTCATTTAACCTTTTGAATTCGGATACGAGGAAACACCAGGAGTCACAGAGGGAACACAGAGTAATTATGTTGTAACAGGTCTCAGGGACAGTTTATTGACGCCTCGAGCACATTAACGCCGGAGATTTTGGCTAAAAACAGAGACGGTCATTCCAGAGACTTGTCCTCCTTCTGTGAGAGCTTAATGACTCCAAACAGTTAAAACACCGCTCAAGATAATTAACGCCGCGCTCTGATTAGCATGAGAATAGATGAACTAACAGAGTGGCCCGGTGGCAGCTGGCAGCCTGACCCGCTTTAAACTGTTCAATACAAACTGCTGAAGAGCCTTTTTAAAACACGTTAGCAAGAAATAAATTCATTCATTAGCATGAAAATAGACGAAGCAACAGAAGAAGAGAGGGGGCCGGCAACCTGGGCTCGTTAAAGGCTGTTTAATACAAGTTCTTATTACAAATTAGTCTCAAAGGAAAATACGCGGACTGTTCTGAGACGCAGGCTTCACTGCACGGTGATCGCTGTAAACAGATTCTTCATGTAAACACACAGAAGCTGCTGTTAAGATTTTGCAGCTGGACGCTTCTGGTTTTCAATTTGTAGTTTGACGAATCACGATTGAGGAAGTGTTGGTTTCCCTGCATGTGTGGAGAAAAGAGACCGAGGTACATCAGCTGTCAGCTTTTTAATTTATCCTCATTCATACAGAGACCAAGAACACCTACAAACAGTACCATGGTTTGTGTTTTGTGTGGAGAAACGTTTGACTCTCGTGATTAAAGGAAGCAGTTGGACTGTGAACAGTGCACGGGGAACAGAAGACAGAGCCTTGGCCCGGATATCCATTGTGTTCCCCCGAAAGGCCCCAAGGATTGGCTGATGCCCCCGGAGGCAAATCTGTTGTCAGACAATAGCCGACGGTCCCAGAGACTGAGTTTACACTATATAGGCAAACATGGTCGAAGCTCTTTAAATGCATTCAATGGGGGGGGGGGGTTTATTGATGCATCAGATGAAACCAAGTTCTAAATTGGACTCAGAGAAACTTTTCCGGACATTTTATAGAAATTTTATCGAAAATAATCAACAAATTAAATGATGATAAAAATAACTGCTATTGTTTACGAATACTTTTTCTTCATAACTCGATATGATTTCAGCTGAAACTGATTCATCGACCGGTAGATTTTTATAGACAAACAGTTAATTGCCTAATTGAAAACATAATTAGCAGATTAATAAATTAAGATATATCAGAGAAATAATAAGAAATACTAAATCTTGCTGCAAAAAGTTTTTTTAAATAACCTAAATTAAGTGTTTGTTATAAAATGTGATGTATAAACCTTTTTTTTTTTAACCCATTCTGAGTTTGAAGTCTCCTAATTCAGCAGCTGATAGAAGAGAATCCTCTGCAGCTGTAGATAAACACCCAGCTGCTGTGAACCTCTGTATTTCAGTTTGTCTCTGAGCTGGTGAAGAACAGTCGCTTCACGATGCCCCCCCCCCCCGGCCCCTCCTCATCACAACAGACGAGCGAAGAGCCCATAACAGCTCGTCTGTTCAAAGTAAAGACTGCTCCGAGTGTGAGGAGACACAATCGGGCCTTTCACCACAGACCTGCGTGTCTGTTTATTAAACTTCAGAATGAGTCTATCATGGGGGGGGGGGGTGAAAACAACAGTGACAGTGTGAAACCAGGCTGTTCACCACCAGAATAACTTTGTTTGTTTTAACTGTGAAAGAGTTTTGGTCCAGTCTTGAGTTTGAGCCGCTCCAAAGTGAGAACTGATGATTTTCTCCTGTTTTATATCAATACATCATTATATTCACTTTATTCTGGAGCGATACTTAAATAAATAATCTGAAGACTTCACCTTGGATTTTGGGGAAACTGTGATGGGCATTACGTTTAACATTATAGATAATAGTACTTGTACACAGGTATTAGCGTCTATCTGAGTATTTGTCAAACATTATTCACTTCCTTCAGTCCTCATGAGCTGATGTTTGGAGAAGTTGTGGATTGGTACAGATTCTTTGTTTTAAGTTGCCTATTTTATGGATAAATTCAGTAACTGTTGAATTGTTTTGAGTGTTTTAAGTTTCCTTTACCTTTATTAAGAGTACTCTGTTGATCACTTGTGTCTCTGTGGGTGTTTTGAGCAGCAGATTTGATATTTGTGATTGTTTGTGTCTCTGTGTAGCTGCTTTGATTCTCTTTGAGATGTTTGTGGTCATTTTGAGTTTTTACTGATTCGATTGCTCTTAAGTCATTTATGTTATTGAAATATCTCTGTGGAGTCGTTTTAAGACTCTTCAGGTTCAGGTTTTGTTCATCGCTCTGTCTCTTTATAGATGTTTTGAAAAACATTTTTGTCTTTATTGTTTTTTTGGTCTCTGGTATTTTCTGGATGATTTTAGTAGCATTGTGCATTTGGAGCTTCTTCTGGTTCATTTTTTGTGTGGGTTTTCAAACAGTGGCTCAGGAGCCCCCTGACACCTGAGCCCAGGGGCCCCCTGACACCTAAGCCCAGGGGGCCCCTGCAGTGATCCACCCATGACCTTTCACCTGCTGTCAATAAAGTGAGCACCTGTGAACACCTGTCCCTCAGGAAACAAGACAGCTCTCAAACATAATATATAAATATAGTGAGAACCGAGCAGGAGGAGGCAGATCCAGGGATGGAGGTGGATGTTAAACAAGGAGGAGAAGAACAACAACAACAACAACAACAACAACAACACCTGTGTGACCTCCTCACCTCCAGGTAGGGCACGAGCCGACACGACAGGTCTCCGAGCAGCCTCTTGAACGTGAGCTCGTGGAACACGACCACCGGAAGACAGAAGAAGAGAACCGAGAAGTCGCACAGAGCCATTCCCGCCAGGACGCAGTTCCACGCGCTCTTCAGGTAGAAGTTGTGCCACACGATGCACATGAGCGCGAGATTCCCCACGATGCCCGCGGCGAACAGCACGAGAGCGAGCAGCATGATCGCGTACGCCCAGTAGGCACCGTTCGAGACCGGGAGCAGCGGGTTGAGGAGCCCGGACCCGGAGGAGAGGTTACCCGGCGGGGCGGCGCTGCGCCGGTCGGTCCGCGGTGTGGTGAAGAAGCCGCTCGGGTCGTCGTAACGCCGCGGTTGCCCGAGACCACTCGAGGAGTGCGGGTCTCTCCTCCCGGAGCCCCCGTCTTTAGCCCCGCGGGCGACTCGCCTCAGGTCGGCATCTCTCAAGCTCTCCGCCCGGTCCGCGGACGTCCTCCCCGGGGAGAAGGACTCCTCTGCCCCTGCTTCCTCCAGCCCCGGGTGAGACTCCGGGTGGAGGTGGCGGAGCTCCGCGCTCCGGACAAAGAGGAACAGCAGAAAGAAAACCGGGATCATTTTTCACCGACGATCGAGAGAAATGTGGTCCGTGTGTCCTGCGTCCTCCTCAGACATGAGCCGCTGCGAGTGTCCCGGGATGAAGAGTCTCCATGAAGAGTCGGTGCTGATGAAACTTCTGAGGCTGCTCTGCCTCCTCACGTGCTCTTCATCAACACCGACACTTCCGGCCATAAACTTCAACATAAATCAAAACCGGAAGGGAAACTTTTTCCCTTTTGAGCACGAAAGATGCTTCAGAGGTTTTGAATCTGGTTTAGTTGAGTAAATAATTTAATGTGATGTGTGAAATTTACACAGAATATGTTCCAATAAGTGGTTTTTTTAAATTATATTATACTATTATATTGTATTAGTATAACAGAAACAACTCAAAGTGAAGTATATGCTCTAAATACAGAATCTAAAAGCATAAACCAGAGAATTTCTGATCCTATTTTAATCTAAACAAGTATGTTTTCGTTTCACAAGATAACTTTATATTTATTAGAAAACTGACCACGAGATTATTTACGCAAATTTGTTTTTTTTGGTTAAACCTTTTTCCCGTCATCTTCCCAATTGCCCTGAGTAAAACATTAGACAGGCTCGAAGGAGACTCAGTGGAGCAGATACCTCAGACCTGACAAGCTGCACCGAACTGCACACACTCAGATGAGTCTCCTACATATGTCTGATTTCTTCTACCATCACTTCTTCCTCCTCTGATCTGCACCAGTTTTATTGGTCCTTCCACCAATTTTCTTGTTAATCCGTTCAGTAGTTTTTGCGTAATCCTGTTTATTGTTGATTATACTGTATGATTCACTACAGAGGAATCTGTCATTTGTCTTTAGTTATACAGAAATATATTTATAAGCTTTGTCCACCAGTGAGAGTCAAAGATAAAATGATGCAGGACATTTTTTCGACCTTTCATATTTATTATCAAATTCAAACCTTATTCATTTGAACATTTTGTCTATGAATGTTTTTCCAAACAGGTCTGATCCTCTGTAGCTGCGTCTGACTGTCATTCAGGAAACTAACAAGAAATCCTGATACGCAAGTTTCCACAGGAAGGCTCTGATGAAAAATATCTCTGAGGATTTACTAGAATAAAAAAAATAAATCTTATATTCTGACGATCTCGATGTTTTGCTTCAAGTCTGCGTCCTCAGCTGCTGTTTGTTCTCTCTCCTGTCGACTGTTAAAATCAGTCATGACACCAGATCGCATCAAATGAGGGAGGAGAAAAATCTGCAAACTGTAACGTCCAGACCAGGTATTCAATCTGAAACAGACTTCCATGTCCTATCATCCTCAGCTTTTCAGGGAGGCCTTCAGCTTTCTGCGGGCGTCCTTGTGTTTCTTGCGATATTCCTGTGGAAATAACGTAGAAATCTTCAATTCAGGTTGTTGTCAAGTCTAGTCTACAGTAACGTCAGCTTCTGTCAATAAAAAAAATCAGTTTTGTGGAAGTGCTGCTTAAATGTTGAAGTTATATTATTTACAAATATGTGAGGAGGCGTTTCTTGTTGTAAACTGATGTGTACCTCTCTGAGTGTGCTCCTCCTCTCCTCCCACTGCTCCCTCTGCTCCTCCAGCTGAGAGGAACGACAGAATAACCTCGGGCCCTCTGATGGAGGTGGAGAGAAGTGGTGAGACATCAACATAACATTTCAGGAAGTCATGTTGTTCTCAGACAAACATTTTATAAATACAAATGTAACTTGCTGCTGCATTAAAGGAAAAAATGATGGAGCTTGAATAACAAACTATCTGGATTTGAATTCTCCACCTCACCTGTCAATCTGCTGTCTTCAGGGTAGAAGAAGAAGAAGAGACTGGTCTTTGCAGGAGTCTCCGCTCTGTTGACAGCAACACATAAAGATGAGGCTCCATTTGAACTGACATGGATTTTACAACTTTTAAGTAAAATGAAGCTTTAACTTAAATGTATGTACAGGACGAGACAGGATTTGATTTTAATTCTTCTCACTCTGTGGTTTTAGCTGTAGCAATGATCTGCTCCTCATCTTCCTCCTGATCCTCATCTTCCTCTTCTGAGCTGCTGTCTTGGAAACGTGGGTCTTGGTGCCATGACACCTTCGGAGCCTGGATATTCTCCACCTTGTACTCTGCTGGTCAGAGAGTGACGGATTACAGTTACACAGTTTTCTTAAATAAATATTTCCTCTAAGACAGCCTGAGAAAAATATTTTTGATTCAACTTACCCGGCTCTTTACTTTCTGTTTCTACGTCGTCTCCAAAGAAGGAGAATTTAAATCCAGACTCCTCTTTCTCTGCATCAGCCGAGACGAGAGACGTCACCGGAGTCGGCTCCTCTTCTTTCTCTGTTTTTTCCTCTTCCTCTTCTTGGTCCCAGTTTATCTTCTCTTCTTCTTCTTCTTCTCCTTCTTCTTCTTCAGTGATGTCATCCTTTGTCGGACCAAACACGGCCTTCAGGTCTCCAGACACGTCGTAGTAAATTTCTTTAGAAACCTCCGGCATCTTCTGAGCCTCTTCCCTCTTCTTCCTCCTGGCCGACTTGCTGTGGAGACAGCAGATCACATGACAGTCTTACTCAACATGTACATGAGTGCACATTATAATTGAATAAGTACTTCATTTTTTATGAGGGCTTTCAATTGAACTGCAGCAACAATACATTGAGATATTACTCTTTAGACTTTTAGACATAACTGAAAGTCAGTTTTTTTTTGGCAAATGTAGTATTAAAAGTCTGAACATATTCAGTAAAAACAACTTGATGCAACAGAATTATCTGATGTATTCATTTTAAGCACCTGTGTTTTGTATATAGTTTTATATAGTTATATAGTTTTATTTATTGGTTTTCAGTAGGAACCGATGAACTTGCAGTTGCCACAGAAAGGATGAGACGGTAAGAATGAACCAATCATTGCAGTTCTGTGGCTTTTCATGGGATTTGTTGACAATATCAACAATAAAGAATATCACCCAATCCTCTCGTGTGGATCAGGTCTGGCTTTTGTCTTAACTGGTTAATGGGATCAGCATTGGTGCTGATTCCAATCCAGTCCATCTCACATCTTATGTCATAGTAGTTTCCATGTTCATACCTCTCTTTGACCTCATCTGGTTTGGTCTCAAACGCAGCATGTTCCTCTCGGCTGGGGTCGTAGTGCAGCGCTGACACGTCTCTGCAAACACACATAGGAATTTATTCATTCATCTATTGAGCCTGATGAAACACAAAGTTCAGAAGTGTGTGTGTGTGTGTGTGTGTGTGTGTGTGTGTGTGTGTGTGTGTGTGTGTGTGTGTGT